CCGCTCTCACACCCGCCCCCGTTCGAAGGCTGCCTCCATTCAGCCCGTTCCGCCGCGACCCCGCGCTTGGAAAATCTCCCGGAAGACATTCTGATCTTCATTTTCCGTTTCCTGCTGGAACTAGACTTGCGCCAAGTGGCTCAAGTGTGCAAGCGGCTTCGGGATATCGCGAATAGTCCGGAGCTGTGGAAACGCCTGTACAGGGAAGTGTACGAATACGACTTGCCATTGGTGCAGCAGGAGCCGAACACGTATGTATTCCGTGACCCAGAGAACTCGGAGGACCCCAACCCTTGGAAGACGAGCTTCTTTCAGTTCTACCATGGAATGCACGTGCGAGAAGGATACAAGAGATTTTCCCGTCGTGGTCGCTCAATTACGTATTTTGACAGCGTTTCCAGCGCGTTGGACTTCGTGAACGCCAGCGATGGTGGGTGCTCACACCTGATTTTCGTCCATCCAGGCAGTTACGGAGGGTTCGTAGTGAAAAGTAAGGTAACGCTCATCGGCGCAGCGCCGGGAGAAATCAAGAAGTCTGTTATTATAAGAAGCGATGCTATTAATTCTGTGTACGTAGTTAGAGGAGCCGAAGACGCCTATATGGGATATCTTACTCTTCACTTCTCTCCATCCCGCCCACCCTTTCAGCACTCGCGTCTTGACGGCTGCAGTTTAGCCGTTTCTTCACGCTGTGAGCCCACCGTGGAACATTGCGTCCTCCAAAGCACTTCTATCGCCAGGTCTGTTGTGAGCATTAGTGGCGCCGATTCAACTCCTGTTATCAGAAACTGCAGCATCGTAGAGTGTAAACACAGCGCTGACAGTGAAGCAATAAATAGCAGTGAATGCAGTGAAAGTGATGACAGCAGTGATATTTTTCGCAAGAGGCTATATGGAATATGGGTGGAAAACGGGGCAAATCCGTTGGTGAGAGAAAATCGTATTCGTAGTGGAGTTGGCATTGCCGTCTCTGAGAGAGGAACATCGGGCCAATACATAAATAACGATGTATCTGATAATATTGAGGAGGGTGTTGACGCGTCAGATAAGAGTTGCCATTTACAGTCTGATGAAATAGGCTGTGTCTATATCCATAATGAAGGCGCGGGTTTATTTGAAGGCAATAAATTTCATTCCAGAAAGATTCCGGGCGTTTGCATTTCAACGAAGAGTGCCCCTACTATCAGAAGCAACAAAATTTGGAAGTGTCCCATTGGTGTGCTCGTCAGTGCAAGATCGGGTGGTATGATTGAAGATAACAACATAGTAGGATATGATGTGTCGGGAGTTTTAATCAGCAATAGCAATCCAGTTATAAAGAAGAATAAAATTCATCGTGGAAACT